ATGCCACAAGACCGCTGATCTAAATGCATCTTACCGATAGGTCCCTGTTTCATTGTGGTATTGTTGTTGCAGAACCGATAACAAATGCGAAAACCAATACCCCAAATCCTGTGTCACACCTCAGTCCTTTGAATATTCATTGTTGCTCATCTTCTTTTTGGGCACATTGTTGACAAGATGAATACAATTGTTCGTAGCACACCAAAAACACTACTCGAGTCTTCAAGTCTTCACTTGTTGGCATGCCCTCCTTCTGGGCCATCATGACGAATACGGGGCAGAAAAGTGCTTCTTAATTAGTCATGACGTCAAGAGGCAAGTTTTCGAAGCACGGCCCACTCGTGCAATGATGCGATGACCGAAGTCAAGATGAGTCTCTACAATCAGCAGAAGTTGCGATCCAGAAGCACTAGCACGTTCTGGCAGAAGCTGCCGTGTGTGGCTTCGAATATCACTTGCGTATGAACGCTTCAATGCTGATGTGCATGAGCTGAACTGTACTGGCCCCTTGTCTGGCCACTTCGCAAAATCAGGGGTTAGACATGAAAGAAAGGTACGCTTGAGCACCCCAAGACATGGCCCGCAAAATCCCCCAATTCCTTGTAACATGTACCATGCCTCGAAACTTACTCCTCACAACGCCTCTTTAATCATCAGCTCGGCGCGTACCAAGCATGCCGGAATCATACCTCGCAGCATACTCTCAGCATACCTCAATGGCAAAAGAGATTTGAGGATTGGGTGCCATAGCTGTAAGAACGCATGCTTAGGGCTCTGCAGGAATTGCAGGAATCCGAGCACCACACCGTAGAGTTGTACCAGAGTACTCGCAACTCCAACAAGGTCTAATGGCCGTTCCCAGTCCTAGTCAACTTGGCTGCCTGACTCCAATTTGCATTTGACAGGTGCCGAAGACGATGAATTCTGAGCTGTTTGCCAATGGAGTAACAGCGGATAAAAGCTTCGCAGATGGCATCTTAGACCTCGAGCTCTTATTGCACAAAGCACCGAACACTTCTAGCCAAGGAACGCAAATCTGAAGTTCATGTATGAAGGCTCCGCATTTGCAAGGCAATGCTACAAGACAGGAGGCCTGTAGTTAGCAGAACCATGCGCGAGCTGGCTGGTAGGTCTGATCGGGTATTGGGCCGCGCGTGGAACGTGCCACTTCTAGGTTGCAGGTTCATCATTGATGAGCCTGCTGGCCATGTACAAAACACGTGGTGCCCAAGGCACGAATTACATCAATCCTGAAGGTTCTATCGTGCTGGACCGTAGCGTTTGCAGAGTTCAAGGGCATGCGAGCCACGCAGCAGCCAGTTTCGCACGACATGCTATGCAGATCATGGCATTTTTGGTACCAGAAATGGGTCTTTCCAAATGGCAGTATCCGCCTTCATGGATCGTATGCAGGGCAGCAAGAGGATGCCTTCTAGGGTCCCTAAACTTTTGGAAAATGCCATCTGCACTGCCTTGCTCCAGAATAATGTTTGGCGAGCCACCCCGGGGAGGGAGAGCAAGGTCGTGGTGACTAAGCGCAGGATGGGCCCTAACCTTACTGCAGGCCAAAGTAGGGAATAAGGGAAGACATTATACAAGGGCTATATAGGGATAATTCACTTATTCCCTACTACCCCCCCAGAAAGTAATAGCCGAACAGCCAGCCATGTCTGCAGCGGATGCAGCTGGCTTGAAAGCAGGCAAGGACTACCCGGGCTGCTTGGCTAGCAAAAGGCATAGCATCAACAACAATCAAGAGTTTCTCTCAATGGCATCTGGCCCATGACGGAGCGCAGCAGAAGAGGAGAAGTCATCAACGCAGCTGCAGTTGCAGAGCCATTGGAAAGAGATCATCGCTTTCTTCTGCGGCAGGCAGAGCTCTGCAACAGCAAGGTGCAGCAAGCGCCCTCTCACCTCAGCATGTTGTGAAGCACTCCTTACGAGGGATGAGAGATGACAGCCCGTTGCTTGCTTTCTGGTCCTGTCTGCTGCTGCTAGGCATTGTTCTTACTCCTGCTGCAAATGCACAAGTGCAAAGGAGAAATCAAAGATCCGTGGACCTGTGTGCGCCTTTCCGAATACAATCGAGTCACGAAGCCAGCCAACCCACAACAATCAATTAAATCGACTTGGTGATTACACTGTATATGTATTCAAACCCATGATACGTAAGCTTTACACCCATCATGGATGGTTTCCGAAGTCGAGGACCCATGTTTCACCTAAGTGCCATAGCCCAACAGCCTGAGACCATTTCAGATCGGCCGATATACCCTGGTACGGAAGACCCTGATCCTTGGAATTACGCAGCAGCCAGCTGTTCCAAGGCGTGGGTGTTGGCGCTTTTGTGTTCGACGAGCGCGGGCGAGCTCCCCGGCATGCAAACAGCACTGGCTTGGGACGCTACGGTAACAGAGAGTCTTTACAGGGCTCATCAGGGCTCAACGTGGGTCATTTCATAGGGGCACATGCCGGTCATGGGTCATGTTTGGGGTGAGGCGATGTCATTATACGGCAAGACCGCGCGGTCATGGCAGTGAGAAGGCAAAGTCCTCATCTGGACACCAGGACCCTAAACCCTAAAACC